CTCCGCATGAACATTCGAGAGTTGCCGAATTTCCTTCGGTAAACTGTTTATTTTTTAGAAAAGTTATGAATATTTTTCCTTGAATTTTTCAGGAACTTTATGAAAAATTGCAAACAAATTACCTGAATAATTAGAAGGGAAATTTTCTCAAATTTACCCGGAAATTCGTGTTTTATCAAAAGAAATTCGGCAAGGCCTGAAGGTTTATACGGCGTTCTTCCTTGGCACGCAGTGTCGCTGTATGCATGAAATTTCCTGTCACCTAAAAAGTAAGGACGTGAACGGACTGTTTTTGGACCCCGGTAGACAGTCGAGTCCTGATACTACGCGTCTTATTCCTAAAAAATATCTCTCCTGTGTAGTAAATACTACCAGAGCTTAGATTGTCTTCATTCAAAAGTCTACCCGGATCTAAAATCAGAAAGACTTGCAGTTAAACTTCGCATCCTTTTTTTTCGAGGAGGCTCAAGAAAGAATTTCACGATTCTGGCTGTCTGTAAACAGACTTCAGTTTTTCATTTCAACTATGGTAGTCCGTGGAAGTCACCATCAACTAAACGTAGGTGAAGCCTATCCCTATAGCCACGATGCAAATGACATGCAACAGTTTAGCTCTAATGAGAACTTTTAGGACTTTAAGAGCAGCTTAACAAACTTAGATTTGCTCATATCTTTAATGCAACATTTTTTAAATTATTTTGAGTTTTGAAGGGCTCAAAAGTCAGTTTCTGTTCAACAAGGCCTTGGCTGTGACGATAAGTAGGGATCAGTTTAAGTGACGTAGGAATTACTTTCAGTGAGCAGTGATCATTCGAGCATTCTGTAAACTTAAGCTAATTTTTTTTACAATCAATGCAATGAACGGTAATGAAATCTTAATTCGGGTGTATAGCGATCTTCTCTGGCTTTGAAAATATAACCCGAGTCAAAAAATATTCTCAGTCGTGCGACTGTGATCGTCGAACGGTCTCTCCGAGTCGGCTTCTAACACCCGGTCGCATTTCAGCGGCGTTAACGTTTCAAAACGTCATTAGGACAAGCACAGAGGGAATGGTAGATCGAGCCTATTAAAATGTTAATTCGCCGATTGGAGGGGGATTTAATTAAAAGCGCTGGTTCGCCAAACGCACGGCTACGCTGCTTTTAGGTGGCAATTCTGATCGCTCGGCTCCGTGAGTTTATAGCGCCGCTCCTCTGACGTGTCTCGATGACCGCGTGGCCCCAGAAAGCATGGGTTTATATGTTGAACAGGGCTCAAGTGGAAATTCAGATACGCCCTTGCGTCAGAGGGGCGACATAGGTGCAGCTGTTAACGTGTCCCGCTAAGCCGGAGGGCCCTTTTAGTTGCTGACTATATTCAGCGACATTTGCTTCATTTGTCGAGTTAAGATAATTTCATTCAGAGTTTACGTCATTATCTAACTTTGTATCAGTGCCCCAGAGTGAAAAGGCACTAACTCACATTCTTGGGAAAATCGAGTTTTGGCATAAAAGTAGGTTTTTTTTTTTTTTTTTTTTTGGAGGGGAGAAGGGCCTAATTTGGAAGAACCATTGAAGTTAGTAATTTTTTATCTCCTGGAGCCAAAGTGAGGGCAGTTGAGACCGTTTGTTTTCTTGGAATCTTGAATCGCCTACAATTTATGAAGTATGCAACCCGCAATATGTGGGCCCTGCTATCTGCGAACATCCCAGGCTCTTGAGTGCTAACTTTACCCTATCAGAGGTACAAAAAGTTCTGAGCCTTTCCCGGGATTCAACCGGCCCTCTTCCATTCTTAACCGTTTATGACCACTCCCCCTCAAGATTTAAAAAACAAATAATTTCCCTCGAAAAATTGGACAATTTTACCGCTGAATCGCTGTATCTTGCACGGGGCTCCCCCGTTTGATCCTATTTTCTTGTGGGTTCCCAACTGTCACGCGACCGGCAAACGACGGGGCCAGTCCAGCGGTCGGAAAAATTTCCTCATTCTTGAACTCAACCAAAATTTCGGATGAGTTCCGAAACCACAACCAAAAACCGAATTCTTTGATCAATGCAGCCGAAAGAAAAGTAACCCAAATTGACCAAGAACAACGCCATTTTTATCGTGTCAATTTCGGGGCAATCCGTTTTGCATCAAGATGTTGGTTCTAGTGCATTACGGAGAGTTGCGCTAATGAGGAGCGGGCACTGCACGTTAACGCGAGGACGCACAGTGGTTCGAGTCAATTAGAGAGGTCGGACATGAAATTTTTAACTAGAACTACGAATTTTCATGGTAATTTCGTCACAGTTTCAAGTTCTAGGGGTGCTTCTAGAAGGAAATTTCACGAGAATACCAATGGAACCACTTTTGGAACCTCAAAGTTGTATATAAACGGAGTTACAAGCGTTTAAAGTTTCCGACTTTTGTCCGACCTCTCCCATTGATTCGATCCACTGAGGGACGCGGGCGTGGCGGGAGTCTACTTAATCTGAAGGCGGTGAGTGATCCGCTGTCCGCAACTTCGCTCCCCCCCCCCCCCCCCCCCTCCGCCCCCCAGCATCCCTACATAACACGTTTCGGCTTATCTACAACTTGTTGCAACTTCGGAAACATTCCCTGCTGTAATTTTACAGCCAAATGATGCAGTCTCATCAGTCGGTGCCATCTCTCTGGATTTATATCCTTCGTTTCTCGTCATAGTTTTCCAAATATTGTAACGGTCAACGCAAAAACTTTTCGTTGAACAGTAAGTCACGTCAACTGATTCGGATCTAAGATCTAATTTCGGAGGGGAGCGTAAGGGGCGCATGCCCCCCTCTGTTCGCCCAAAAAAAGGAGGAAGAAATAGAAGAGGAAGAAGGAAGGAAGGAGCGGAGGAAAGAAGAAAGAAAGACGCTTACATTTGACAATAGTTCATGACATAACTGACTCAAAACTGTACATTAGATTCCAAATTTTCTGAGGGAGGCCCCGAGGGACCCCATTGTGCCCCCTCCCCTTGATTTGAAGTGTCTGGATCCGCCTATGTATGTTAACTACTCCATGTTTTTGCGGTTTAAGAATTTTTCTGAAATTGAGAGGAAGACTTTTTTTTCTCTTTTCCGTTTGTTTAAAAATGTCTAATTTTTTTCACAATTTTTAATGTTTTCCTTGATAATGGATTTATAATTTGAAACTTTCTTCCTATGTTTCAGGTAAGCTTGCTGAGATTTTTTACTACGGATTACCGTGGGTCATGAACTTATGAACTATGGTAAGCCTTATTTATGCGCATCCATCTTTTCTTCCCTTTGAATCAACTTCTTCATATTTATTGTGTGTAAAGAATGACGGAGTTTAAATGCACATCGAAAGTTGTACTGCGGAGAACCTGTATGCAGATGATCTAGCCAGAATCCTCTTGATGAGCAACTGCAGTGACGGTTGAGTTGAAAGTAATCCATACCGTTTATGAACAGTGCATTTCATACGAAATTGTGATCGTTGAAATGCTGACGGCCAGTAATTAGAGTCACGCCTCGCTCCCGTTCAAAGTATTCAATTTCAGAGCTCCAAAATTCTCAGAAAAAACTATCCGTGGTGCGACACTCCCTCATTAGAATTTCAAGTCCCGTCTAGTTGTCATGAAATAGCGCAATCAACGGGAAACAGCCCGAGAGATGATCGCCGTACTTTTATTTAATCGTTTTCCGTCCCGCAGGTGCTCGGTTTGAAAAAATTGAACACTCTAGCCTGCTTCGTTTGATGCTGGATACAACGGTGCTGATTTGGACGTATTTATACTAACCATGTGAGAATGAAATGAATCAAAAGAATCCATGTGAAAATGAGAAAAATTGAAAGGAACTATGTGCGTGTTTACGTACTTCATCGTTCCTTCTGATTTCAGTCACGCGCACAAAGTTCCTTTTCGTATAGTTACGTCCATTTGAAGTGTCGCGTCAATTTAACAAGCTGCTCTCTTCTGGTTACCTTTACTGATCGCAATCTTTTTGATAGCATTTTGCAATTAGGAACTACAATTTCTGGCTCATTTCAGAAACGTCAAACGTGCCATAAGTTTCCCTACGCAGGTATATGTGTTTTTATGGATGAGCCTGAAATTTTAGCTCCTAATTTTTTGAAATTGAAATGTGGTCCATTTATTTCGAAGTACACGACGAAGACTCCGACTTTTTTGGAACTATTTCTGGCTCATTTCAGAAACATCATGAGTGCCATAAGTTTTCCTAGGGAGCACTTTTTTTTTTTTATAGATGAGCCTGAAATTGTAGTTCCTAATTTCGGAGTGTGGTCTGTTTACCTCGGAGCACACGACGCGACGAAGGCTCCAACTTTTTAGAATCAGTCAATCATTATTATTTGGACGTATTTCTATCAGACGGACCTAAACGCCATAGGGTAAGGAAGGTAGAGGGGGGCTTGGATTGGCGGCGGAATCGGGCGTCCGGCCTATTCCGTCCTATACTCGCAATGCTTTTCCATGGCGCTTAGGTCCGTTTGACAGAGCGCGCTATCCGGGATTCTAAATTCCTCGAAAGGAACTCAAATTGGCGCTTAGTTCCGTTTGATAGAAATATACGTCCTTTTGTGCATTACTACATGGGAAGCTGTTGACCCCCGAATGTTAAAGGTGAATTTGGCGGTGTTTGGTCATAAAATCACCATTTTGGGAGTTATGGAGTCACCGATGATTCTACTGTCGCAATGAGGGGCCAATTTTTTGAAGAATTAAACGAGGAGATTGCCAAGATATTATTTGTTCGAAAAGGGGTACCGTTCCGAAATCGAAGCATCCAATTTATTTTATCACGGCCACTCATTTCCCCTCATTTTCGTTTCATTTATTTTTCCAAAGTTGTTTGAGCATTATTAAACATGCAAAGCAAATTACGAGACGGAAGCACTAAGTCCCGGGGTGGGAGCAGGGCGGAAAAACACGACAGTAAATCGAGAAAAATTACAGCGGCGGTATATGAGTCTACCTGTAATCTCTTGAAAACGGCGGCGCGGTAACATAATCTGGGCGCAGGTTGATAAATCTTCCATCCTCATAACCCCCTCCCCGAAAGCCCGAACGCAGGATGCCTGGTACAGGTGCCCTCCTCTTTCACAACCGACGACCGACGACCCCTCAGGGCACAGCTTCATCCCCGTCCCCACCCCCATCCCCAACCCCAACCCTCCCCCCATCACCGTCCCTACCCGCTGCACCCCACCATCCCTCCTATTTTCCAGTTACTAACGCGCTTCTTACCCCCTCATGAAATCCCGCGCCGCGCCGCACCGATGCCGTTGCACCATGGAACATGGCCTACGTTCCGTTCCCGCACTTGCCTAACTGTTAGCTGAATTTTTCCGCTGCTCGGAAAATCTCTCAAAGAAATCGCGTTATGTCGTACTCTACGAACTATACTTGATCAACACCGGAACTGTGTAAAATTTTGCAATGCACATATTTGGTTTATTGGGGTTAAAATTTCAGCTTGTCATCTAAATCCATGTACAGTTATAGAGATACGAGATATGGAGATACGAGATGCAAAGATAGATATTCGAGATATAGAGACTCTAGACATGAGATACGAGATATAAAGATATGAGATAGAGATACGAGATATAGAGATACGAGATATAGAGATAGATATAGAGGCACGAGAAATAGAGATAGGTACGAGGTATGGAGTCTCGATTATCCGCGAATCGGATTATTCGCGGTTTTTTCCGGTGGCTTTTCTCGTGGAGTGGAAGGAAATTTGAGGGTAAATCCATCCAACCTATGGACAAACTCTCTTTAACGCATGAACGAGATTGCAGCCCAAAAAAGTTATAATTCCATGGCGCGAACTTCTGTAAAAAATTTTTACCAGAAATAGTGGTTGCCAAAGTAACCTCTTTTAAGGTAAATGTATGAATTGGTAGCTGATAATTACCTTATTTCTGTCTAATATTCGACAAGTTTTATGGTAGAATCCTTTTGTGTAGTCTTCTTGAGCGCTATTCCCGACCAAATAGCATAGTTTCGAATTATCCGCGATTTTCGATTACCCGCGCTAGCTCCGATCCCAATCACCGCGTATAATAGAGACTCTATTGTATTATACAATATTTTCACAACGAACAGTGACAAAAAATGAAAATTTTAATGGTCTGAGAGCTGATACTAAAGATACAGCACGCAGATATTTTGTTGCCTACCACGCAAAATGAAGGCGAAGTTGATTATTCGTGATTTTTTTTTTTTATTTTATTTTATTTTTTTGTAAATTTTGCCTCAGAGTGGGCATAGTTGAGCAAGTAAATTTTTCACGTGTGTAAATAAGGGAGAAAAGGCAAGGAGAAAAATGGTAGGCCAGTCGAACAAGGTTCGGTTGGCGACTTCGCGAGGGAGAGCCCGCGCCGCGATTGCTGGACGCAGCGCGGCGCGGCGTATTAACAACTTTTAATCAGGAGCATTGCGTTGGCAAGCCGTCCATTTGCAATGCGCTCACGTTCGATGAAATGCTCCTGCGCTGCCACTCAGGTAAAACTATTTCGGTTTCTTGCTTTTTTTCATGATTTCCCGCAAACTCACGCTCGGAATTCATTGCCACGTTGGACCCTAGTCAGTCATGCCCAGTGCGCAAGTGCATGCCCACTAGGCCTTGTCCCAACGGGATGTTTTCATGAGATTTGACCCAGGGAAAAGTTTCACTTGCGAGTTAGGAAAACATTGACCAACTCGATATTTATCGCAGTTTTAAGTATATGTTTTGCACTTCTTGTACTTGTCGTAGGGACGTGAGAGTCCTGTCACGTGTAGAATGTACCAGGTACCTGTGAAAAATCCCGAAGTGCCATTCCCGAAATTCGACCCTGAAAATGATCTTATGAAAACATCCTGTAGAGATAAGGTCCTGGAAATTTGACTTGCCGTCGTTCTCTCTACTTCTTGTTAATAAAAGGCTACTTTTCATAATGCTCTTATTGGGTTCCGGTGGATGGTGATGTTGCCTTATCATTTCATTCTGTATACTTGCGTGCAGCTTTTAACCGTCTTCAATACATTTCCGCTATATTGGGCAATCGTTTATTTGTACCCCATTGCAACCATATGACGTGGTACATCAAAGACAATTTTTTCTTTGACAGTATGTCGGAGTTTTTTTTCCAACGTGCGTTAAAAATTCAGCATAAAGCTGGAAATCTCAATATACAGGGAAAAAGCTCATATGAGCACATTTTCCCCTCTGATGGATATGCTGTTTGGTGCAACACTAGTGTCGTCCATGAAGGAAGGCAACTGAATACGCGTTTCGGGCTTGTTGGGCCAATCCTCAGTGCAGCCCCCTAAATTTTCTGCTACCAAGCTCGAGCGCATAACAGCATATCTCTTTGAGGGAAAATTGTCTTCACATGAACTTTGTCCGCTGTAGATTTTCAGCTTCATGCTGAATTTTTAACACACGTTGGCAAAAAACTCCAACATACTGTGTTACGACCCGTAAGTCCACCGCAATCACTTTGTATTTTTCTTCGAATTTACATTTTACTGCGAAAAATTGCCGGCTCAAGTAGTGGACTCGAGCCGAAGCGCGGTAACTAAAAGAGAACAGTAGTCGGTCAGAAATAAGTGCACATTGTTTGACAAAAATGTTTAAGCGGCCCTGTGGTGGATTTGAGTCGACGGTCCCTACACAAAGTTCAGCCCTTCCGCGGGAGAAACGACGGGGTGCACCGCGTTAATTAAAAATAATGATCTCACCCTCTCCCTCCCCCTCGTCCCCTCTCTTTCGCCTCCTCCTTCCGAGCTTTTACCCTCCCTCCTTCGCTTTTTTTTTTTCAAAAGAGGAAGGAAAGCTGTGAGCCTCTGCCGAGCGTGGTCAGACGAAAAATTCCCCGAGCGTAGCGGATCCCGCCCGTCCCCGTTTCAAAAGCTACTTTTTCCTCGGAACTTCTACTTTATTTTTAAGCTGCTTTTGGCGCGACGCAGCGCGGCGCGGTGCAGCAGCTCTTTTTCCCGTCTTTTTTTAATGTGGGCTCCTTCGTCGTCCCGCAATGCCGAAAGCGCTCGCTCGTCGGGGTAGCCCGACACCGAAGGAAAAGCGCATTTTTCCCTCGTGAAAATCGGCTGAGAGAGAAAATACCTCGCACCGACACCGGAGGCATATTTCCCTCCGTATCTCTCCGTACCCTCCGCGCGGGAGCCTCTCTCGTACAAAAACATGAAACCGCTGTCGCGTTCTGTCGTCATCCTGTAGCTTCCCAAATACTTAAAATGTGCTTTGAACTCACTTCATCTGAAGGGCTTGGAGGAAAAGGTGCATAAGTGCAGTTTTTGAACAAATTGAAATATTATTGATTTAAAGTAAAACCAGTCTTGATGCATATTTTGCGATAAAATTCGCTCCCAAATTATAATTTGAAAGGATCAGAAAGTCAGTTTGAAATTTCCGCCTTAAGGAATTAAGGATCCATGTAATTTCGAAACCTCAATCACATTCTCGAAATAGCAAAAACTGCATTTATGCGTTTTGTCCTCCAAGCCCCTCATCTGGTGGTAAGCATTCCTAGATGCAATTCAGAACTGAAAGACCGTGATATAGATACACATCGCTCACGTATCGGTGTATACTGTTCAAAGCCTTGACAATTCACTTTTTTTTTCTTTTTCTTTTTTTCATTTCACAATTTGGCGGATACATAAAATCGAAACATAACCAAATTTCTCAAAAGAATACTAAAATGTTGACCTTCGTGTAATACTAAACGTAAGCCCTCTCACCTTTGATGCACTGCCTGATTTTCTGCTTTTGCCAAATGTCCACCACTCGTTCACTGAAGAAAAAAATAATATCCTGCTCCAGCCCCTAGGATGAGTTGCAAATATACGTCTGGAAATCCTTCGATACAGACAAATTTAAGTTTGTATTTCCGGGATGCACAGCTAACTGTGGAGGCAGTAGTGAAGCCAACATTTAGAGATCACCATACTTATGTTTCACATGGAGGAAATTATAATTTTTCAGGAATATTTTCCTGACCCTTATAGGATAACTTCTTCCTCCCTGAAACGGCGCCGAATCCAAGGTGTCTCCACATCCTGACGGAGAGAGCCTCAGAATAGTGCGCAACCAGCACCAATGGCTCCATGTTAGACTCGTAATTATAAATGCAGAGAAGAGTGCTGTTGTTTTCGACTGGTGTTGCGTGGCGCTTCCCGGAATAAAGCACCCCTTGTACCCTGTCAAGTGGGCAGCCCCCTCATCCACCCGTCCACGCCCTGCCGTAGTGCCGCGCCCCTGTGCGGAATTGATACTTGCCACGTTCTGGCGCTGTTCGTCGAGCACCTCGCCCCGATAAGTATGTTATGTAAACATCCACCCGTTTCCCTAAATATGCGCCGCCGCGCGTCATCCCCCTAACACACTCTTCCTCCCCGCGACGCGACGCGCCTCGCATGGCGCCTCTCCTCCCTAACCTCCTTACTACCCCCTCCCCTCCTGCAAAACGGGCGTTACCCACTTTGTCTCGCAGCTTTTAGATTAGTTTGTTGCTATGAACTGATAAACATAGGTGAGTGTTTCCCTCATCGTTTCTTTGGAAATTACGTCGGTGGCTGCTCCTACACTCGTGGAGGTATTCGCACCATCCCTTATCGACCCAATGGAAGCCTTGAGTGCCAAAAATCTCGTGGGCAATTCTTGATAACTTAATTATGTCAGTTTCTGGTGGGGGAGGGGATGTAAGTCCACTAAGAATTTTCTGAAGTGTTCAGAAGACGGTTTAACGTCTGTTTAAAAGTTCTGAGATAATGTTTTCGGTAACAAATTTTGTAGCACTCTTGGAAGCTAATTATAAATTTTGGACTCGTGCCCTTCTTCAAGAAAATGAAGGAGGTCTGAGAAATGTTGAAGAGTTTTGAGATTTTTATCACTCGCTATCGTTATTTAAGTGAAGCATTGAGATAATAAATTTTTACTCGTTTTTCGATGTGCAACGTCTCCGTTTATATCGGATGTAGCTGTTTTGCGTTTCGAGAGATCTGATTAGTTTTTGTCAATTTACTAGCTTAATAACATCAAGAGACAATCTTGTGAATCCGCTAACTTTAGGAATAGGGTCTGACCAACTTTGAGTACCTATGTATGGAAACTACGGACTCGTCCAAAAATGGAGCTCGTAGGGTTCAAAACGGCAGTCAATCTACTCACACAAAACATGTCACTCAACTGAGTAAACTTCGGACGGATCATATAAAAATTC